AAGCAGGTCTGACTCTGCTCTACCCTAGACCTGTTGCATGACTTCATTTAAGCCACTGTGTTTTTGTTTGTTGTTACTGACACGTAGAATATGCACTATGGGGTAGGAACGGTCTGTTCGCACTTCTACAGCACTATGCACAGTTTGGACCTCATTTTGACTGGGGCTTCTTACAAAGAAGAAAGCCATTAAAGCCAGCACGAGTAAAGTTTTAACAGGGCAGGGCTCTAACTGCATTAAACCTGAGCTACTTGGACCAAGGAGCACTGGCTTGGAGGTGTGGTGAGACCCAGCTCCCTTAAATCAGCCTCACTGGGCTAGAAATCCTACCTGCCCTGGCAGCAGGCAACGTCGGTGCCTCTTCCGCGAAGGACTTGGGACCATTTACACACTGACCCTCCACTGCCTTCCACCAGCTCAGGGTTTGGCTAAGCAGGGTTGCATCTGATGTTACATCGGTACCTGCAAGAGGAGAATTAGACTTCAGGGGCTGACTTTACAATACTTTGTAAAAACTCCAGCCCTGGGAATGGGTCTGCAAGCATCCCTGCAACAGTGATGTCTGCACCTGTGGGTAAGAGGTATGAGTAGCAGTCACCACACTGTTTAAACAGCCCTGTGGCTCTGTGAAATTCAGCAGTTCAGCTTTGCGGAGGTTGTATGAACATTTCCTCCTGTTTTGATTAGAGCCCAGCAGCTACCAGACAGGCTGGGAACGGCAACACATGCCCAGGCTGGTGGTAACAGCTCATTAATCAATCAAATTCAAAATCTTGATTCTGTAGGGCACTGCAGTTCATTTCTAAATTCCTGCAGCTACTTTTGTCTTTGTCCTTTATTCACCGGTGCAACAGCAGAAGCAGGCCCAGTATTATGGCTACAGTCTAGACAAATCACTTTTTCATGAGTTGGTACCAGTGACAGAATAACTGTCATGCATAAAGAGAGAATTTCAGGGAATACTTTCAGATCTATATGGGAGTAATTGAAAGGGAAACATTAGCACATGCACATTTTTGAGGCTGTATTTCTGTGTGAAGTGCTGGAGAATGCAAATATTGGAAAACATCTTTTATTTAAAAGAAGTTAAATAGGAGCAAAGCCAGATAAACGACTTTCAGCAAACAGAAAACTACCTGAAACCCGGTGTTTCAGGAGGATTGCAATCGTTCACACGTATGGATTACTTTTCTGGAAAAGTCTAGGCATTTCAGGTTTCAAAAAAGGGTGTTTTTCTTCACTAATTCCCTTTGAAAAATATTATTTTTGTGTTAAGCCTAAGGGAGGCTGCTCTGAAAATCTGTTCTTCCATATGAAGGAAGCAGGATGAATCCGGGCTGCAGAGAGCACATGGCCCGGAGGGGGTGAGAGGGCAGTAGATGTCTGAGCGAACGGCTATAATAGGAGCATATCGCTGGAGGCGCAGACAGCAGAAGCCTTCGGATTGCCAGGATTGTAACGCTACCATCAGATTGCCTGAGAGCACTAAGAAGCGCTCTGAAAAGACTGTTCATTTCACAAAAGCTACCTTCCAATAGGCCGGTCTTCCAAATAGGCCGGTCTCGCATCAGCCTCATTAAGGAGGAATCTGCATAAATTAACTGCAGCTCCCTGTGACATTAAGCTCACGTTTTTGCAGGCTGGCTTGCAGGGCACTGAAGCCAGGAGCGAGGAATACTCATCCTTTTCACTCCCTTCAAGATGTTTTTCTCTGCCAAGGGGGCTTCAATGGCAGCTGATAGGGAGACTTTTCGCTCTTTTGTATTTGTACCACCAGTCTATATCACCTGTCTTTTGAGGCAAAGCCAACTCACTCCTCCCACCCTGAAGCTAGCTCTTTTCATTCTGAGCAGACCTGATTAGGTAAGGAAGAAGAGTCAGAGAAAAATAGCCACAAGAAATGACCAGGCTTGGATAGCAAGTGGGGCCAGCATCAGCGCTGGTGGAAGGGTCTGACGCTCGCAAGTAACGCAATCGCAGTAGTTTAAGAAACGGCAACACATCGAGCTGCTCTGTTGACGCTTCTTGCAGAGAAAGGGTAATTCCTTTAAGTATTCTGCCACGACCGTCTGCAACTCCCTGACCACACTCCTGTGTTGATAGGCTCCACCAACTGCACATGAAGAACTCACTGACTACTTATCTCTTCTCATCATGTATGTCCCACACGTGGCCGTTTTGGATACGGGCAGTGGTATGTTTTAACGGATATAAATTTGGAATTCACAGGCTGGAGAATATTTAGCAGGTTCTCCTGGAACACAGCTTTATACTTAGCGAATCTACTGAGGATCTAAAAGACTCGATAGAACAATAGTCTGCAGCCTTCAGGAAACAAGTGAAAGATAAGAATTAACATAGAAATAGAATTTTTTTTCCCAGTGAGAGTAACTAAGTACTGGAACAATTTATCATGAATGTGCTACATTTTCCATCACTTGTAGCTTTTAAATCAAGGCTGAATAACACAGTGTTCAAGTCCTTAGGAATTAAAACATCATTTTGGACTGATTGCCTCTCCCCGCCCCATGCCAAAGCTGTAGCAAAAAGTTGGGGGAGGGAAAAAGAACATACTAGCTGAAAGAAATATTTTGTTTCCTCACTTTTTAAGGCTTATCAAAGGAAAATTAGAAAGGAAATTTGAAAGCAATATGTCATTATGAACTGAAGATGTTTCATTTTAAAATGTCAAAAAAACTCTTTCCATGTATTATGGAGAAAGAGATGGTTCTAAATGAATAGTTTAACACAACCAACAAACTTTCAGAAAACACGATGTTGCAAATGTGCATTGCCCTCCTTTCTCCCCTCCCCCCCCAAAAAAGTGGACACGAAAATATTAAAAATAATCCTGTAAACAAGACTGTATGTTTTTAAGGTATCAGTCTCTTACAGAGGCACCACGGAGTGATGCAGAAGTGAGCGGGTGAGGCTCCTGGGACCATGCTGTGCAAGAGGACGTTCCATCCGATCACAGTTCTCTTTTGCCTTAAAAATGTGCATAACCAGTGCATGGAGGTTGTGCAGAAGGATCTCACGGATGTACACAAGGCTTAAGAACTTGATTTCAAGTCTCTAGTGAAGTAACCTTCTCCCAGGTCCCCAAGAATTGTTCCTACCTAATAACGCTGCCCCATTTCTCAGCTGACGCTAGAACTGATCTGAATAACAAGAACTGAATGTCCCTTCTCCAGCCAGCTCCCTCCTCAGTTTCTGTATCATTGATTTCCAAACACTGCAGCCTTTGGGATCCCAGATGCCTTCTGAAACTTTAGAGTGACAACTTTACATGATGAGTCTAGCTGTTAGGTAATCTTTGTTCAGTACCTGATCTAAGATGGGGCAATGCTGACCACAGAGCTTGCCTCAAAAGGCCGAAGAACACAGCACAAAGTTATCTAACATTATATCTAGATGGCAACATACCCATCCTGCATATACAAGGAACGCAAGGAGTGACACTGCTGACATGGTCCTTGACGTAGATTGAAGTGGAAATGAGGCCAGGTGCCTTGGGCTTTTGCATGCGCTGCTAAGCAAGGTAGGGCTGGACACCTCCAGTCAGGAGGGGAGCGCTCCATAACACAGCAGGCACCCACAAAAAGCTGCCAGCTGCGCAGCAGGACTACACAGGCTGGGATGTGCACATCTCCCAGGATCCTGGTACAGTTCCTACTTCTGTTAAGTCACAGCTGACTTTGGCCTCTAGAGTCATATACAATTCACATCTAGGGCACCTCAAGGCACCAAGCGACGTCTAGAAGGTAAGCGTAGATATCATCGTGGTCAAACACGTCCATCTGAATAGGTTGTTCCAAGCATTCCCCTACAGCAGACTGCCATCACAAAGTAAGGGACAGGCTGTGGCTGCGTGCCTGAGCTTGTGCTTTTCTCAACCTGTCGACGCTTGCTGTAGATTTGCTTCAACGGCTTGGACAAGCACTCTCAGAGTAATTAATGAAGAACAACATGTCTGCGCTCCAAACAAAAAGAAAAGAGGCAGCAGACCGAAACGAAACCCAAGCACTTCATTCTCAAAATCTTAAGACACAGACATTTCTCCAGACTCCGTGCGGGTTCTGGCCTGCTACTTTATATGGCCGCCCTCTTCCGCAATAGATAGCTTTCATGCATCCTAATATTTTCTCTACTGTATCCCTAACACAGGGGTGTTTACTTTGAACTATCCCATGTTGCTGCTGCTCCGGATGGGTGGAAGGGCTGTGGCAAAGTGATACAGTGTTTTTTTTTTTCTTTCAAATAACTGATTGCTACATAATTAGCTCTTTTGTTCCGGATACACAAACTCAGCTAGTTAATTACAGGCCACCTTGCCAATGGTTTTTCAGTTCTCTCTGGGTCTTGTTGCTGGGAGGCACATTAAGCAGCAGGGAGGAAAGGAAAGCTAGAAAGCTGATAAGAACAAAATTAAAAAAAAAAACCTCACAGTTGTCTGTGAAAGCTTTTATTTTATGAGTAGCCACAACAACCGGTGCTTCCATTATGCCTCTCAGATTTCTCATTCTATAGGCATAAAGATCAGGAATGCTGCAATCCGAATGACTCTTTTCACGAGCTTTGAACACATAACAAAGATGGAGTTAGGAAAAAAAAAAATTAGAGCAAGCAACGCTATCCAGCTGTGGTCTATGAAAGCGCTTTCAGTTATTGACCTGTGCTGTATTTATCTCTTAGACCTAGTGGGTTATTTCTTTTTTTCTTTTTTTGCCTTTCCCTCCAAGCAAATGGAAGAATTTTTTTCTTCCTTAGATGCCTCTGCATTCAGTGGGGTGCCAAGAAAAGTTTCACAAAGAGCACATGATGCAAAAATACACAATTTCAGGCCAAGGAAGCAAGGTAACAAGGAGGGGAGACAAATCTAAAGGTTTTAAATCATGCCAACACCACACCCCTTGCCCCATCTTCCTTAGTTAGCAGTGACGTGCCGGGGTGTTAGTCTCTGCAGGCATCAGTGTCCAGTTCCTTTCCTTCTGCCTCAGGAGTCCAGAAGTGTTACAGGATCTGCGATTAAGCTTTCGTGCCGGGGCTTTGGAAAATGATCATCTTGCTCTGCCCCAGATACCCTCTGCAAACTGAAGCAAATCCTTGTAAGACAGGGAAAACTCTCCAAAGCAAAGAGCGTTGAGGTATGCATCTGTGGACCTCAGCCCTGAAGGAGTTTGTTGCCTCATTAACTCTCCGGGCTGTGACTGAACTACAGAGTAGAAACAAGGGGTAAGGCCGACAGTAAAGGGATCAAGAGGTAAGTGCTAGTACAAGAGGACGTTATGTCTCTGTGGAATTTGGGGTGAAACCTGGATTTCCTGTTACCCTAACAGTGGGGTGCCCTCCATGGATCTGTAGGTGCTAAAGGGACTGGGTGACGAGACATACTCCAGAGATGGTGTCACATGTACAGAGGGCCCTTCAACACGAGACCGACTTTGCTCTCAACCCATTCCAGCTACACACAAATACTTACAGGGCCAAAGAAACTTCTACGTTTTAACTGGAGTTGGTCCAAGTTACAGAGTTTCTCTCCCAATCAAACTGTTCTTAGATCAGAAGTTGGCTTTGATTAGCCTTCTGCCTGAAAGTTGCTTTACAGGCTTTGGAAAAAGCTGGGTTCTTTCTTGGATAAAATTCAGGGTCGTTGTTTGGAGAAATCACTTTTCTCCGACTGTTTTATAGAAGAAAAGTTATTCCTTCACCTGAACTTTTTAAATGTTGCAATGTAGGGCAAATTCCCAAATTTGAAAATGTTTGATACCTTTTTTTTTTTAAATGAAAACGAAAACCATTTTCAGAGGAAAACTGGGTTTTTTTCGTTTGTTTTTACACAGCGAAAACACATATTTTCCACTGAAGAGTGATTTGGGTAGAAAGTTATTGCTTTGCACAAATGTCAGTGTCTCCAGTTTCAGGGGGGAGCAGCATACTTCACAGTGACAGCATCTTCTCAACTGCTTCAGAAATCTCCTTCGTTCAAAAAGAAAGCTCCATAAATTTTCTTCAATAAAAAAAGTCTCAAAAAGAAAGAGAGGAAAAAAAGAGAAAAAAAAATCCATCCACAGCCAAGGGCACCAACTAAAAAAGGTTTCGTTATAGCTTTGCTGAAAACATCTTTACTTCTAGGTCTCAGAACAAGACTGCTTTAACTTCAACGCACTCTCTTTAGACCAAGTGCCAACTGTATACATATATAGCCACTGGAAAATGAGATTATTAAAAGATTCATGCATTCAGAAAAGCATTACATGAAGAGAAAATGAACTTTTGGGAGAGTGGCAAAACTACTTAGATGCGTCTGATTTTAAATGAAGTTCTTAATGAAGAATTCTTGCCTTCGGTTGTACTACAGCTCCAGGCAGTTTTCACCTTCTCCTTCTCTCCCTCCTTCCTGCTCTCCATTTTTTCCTCCCCTTCTTCTTTTATTTAAAAGACCTCCCTTGAAGGAATATAAAACTGTCATTTCTCCTTCATCTAAATTCATAAGACAGAGAAAAATTAATTCCTCAGCCATTGTCTCTTTGACTCGACCTTTAATTTTCCTTCAACAACAAAACTGTCTGATAACATTCCTCGACTGTGTTGTTTCTATCTGTTTCTTAAGAGCTTTCCTTTACTCTTTACTTTGGGTGAAAGGGGAGATTCTGGATGGATGAAGTCTTTTGAAGTCTTCCAGGCTTCTGCCATGGGCTCCCATGGGACTGGGTGCGTGACAAGCGCTTGAGTCACCAAGTCAAGTGTCGTTTGACTGTTCTCCTGCCCACCAGATTCTGCAGTTTCAACAGAAATGACTTAGCATTTGAAGTGCTCCCGTGCAGTTGCTGAGATTTGAAAGCTTCAGCTCTTGCAGTGATATGATTATGTGAGAATTTCCTTTCATCTTCAAAAAAGAAAAAAAAAATAGTATACTATAGCCCAGAGTGCATGGAGACTAGTGCAACCTCAGTATATTTTTGTCTCAACACTTCCAGACATAGAAGGATTAGGAAGTTAGAGGAAAAAATAGGTTTAATTACAAAAAACCAATATTTTGTAACTTAAATATAATCAAAAAAGATCGTAACTCTAGCTGATATAGAGAATAGTTTGCTTCTTGCTTATCTATGCAATGTTATACCAGATTAGAATTAAATATATGTAGGGGGGAAATTCCACAAACGTTCACTTGCTTTTGAAAGCAGTTTTCTTTTTTGGCTCTTTCCTGCTTTCTCACCACAAATATTCAAACAATCCAGTCCAATCAAGTGAACGAAAGCAAATACCTTAAAGCAAGTTTTTTATTCAAGCGGTCAAGCCTTTACCAAAAATGCATCTCTTGTTGACCTCAGGGAAGGTTGCAGTGGCTGTTAACTCAATCTTAATTGCAAAAGGCACTAGTACTTGTGATTCCAAATCACATAGCCAGCCCCGATATTTGCTGTCTGCATGAGGCACAGACCACTAACTCTTGAGAGAAGAAAGTCTGATAGTCCAGTGAATGTATGAATTTCACAATCTGTTTGCAGACCATCAGCAAGCAGAAAAGAGGGCAGAATTATCAAGGGCAAAATCAAAGGAATTATTTTTTTCTGTAATGATTTGCTCTATACTGTATACCTCATGCTGCCACCAGTTGAGTCGAGGCTTCTGTTGGCTAAGGGTAGGTCTGACACCGAATGGAGCCTCTAGTCCCCAGAATTTAAATTCAAAGCCTCAGTTCCTGAGATCAGCTAAAACACAGGCAAGTTCAGTGGGTTAATAAAGACTCCAGCCAGTCTTTACTATGGATTTCCTTCCTTTTATAGGTTACTTTTCCTCAGAATATGAACGCTATCTGAATGCAGCTTTCTGCAGTTTTGAAAATGCAAATTTATTCTGCATTTCCAGTGTGGTGCGCTCCTCTTATCTGTATGTTACAGTTATCAGAATAAATATTAGACGACAAGTCCTTGGAGAGATCCTGTATGTACATGAGCTAAGTACTCCAGCCAGTAGCTAATCCAAGCAAGGAAGTTCAAAACATGGATTATTCTTGTACTAATTGCAAGAGATAACCGGGGCCTAGTAAGCACAGAGAGGGGCAGGAAGAACCTCCTCCTGTGTGTCTGGGATTTTCCTGAATGAGGGACTTTCTCCTGTGAAGATGCAACGTGATCAGCAGCACCACAGACCTAGGAAGAGCCTTCCTCGAGGGTCAAGAGAAGGAAGAGACCTTCAGCATCACAGAGCTTGAAGTGAAGGAGAACAAACAGATTTAAAACAGGATTTGCATGTAATTTGGAACACGCTGGGCCACGCTAGCCAGACCACCGGTGCTGTCACTGGCGATTCTGAGCGAGTGTTGACTGCTTGAATGGTTGGCAGAGAAGACCAACTGTATGAAAGCTCCTTAGGCAAGATGTGTTTCTGTATTTAGGCCATAGTCTGGAAGGCCCTTACCCATACTCAGAATAGGCACATATCTGTGTTTATATACGTACACACATGTATATAAACACATATATATGTGTATGTATTATATATGTCTTTATATTTGTCTGCATGTGTTTCTATAGTACTGGCTTGCTCTGCTGGAGTCTTAGTCCCTGTATCACATTTGACCTTGCACACAGTCTGGTAGGACTGCAATTGCTGGCTTCCAGGACCATCCTGACTAACAGGAGGAGACGGCAAATAACAAAACCATCAGGTTTTGTCCTATCAGTTTTACTTTCCAATCGCTGTGCAACAGAGAAAGGATTGGGAGCACTTTGCGCAAAATGAGCATTCTCTTTACATTTCATCAGCCTGTTAGGTTAATTAAATATGAATTGATTGTAAAGGACATTAATTGAGATGTAAAAGAGATACATTTAGGCGCCCATGTAATTAACTCTAAATAACAGTGGCAATAAATGTGAAAGCTTATTAATACAATAACCTTGCAAGGATCGTTTGGCATATTTCCCTCCCTCTTCCGACACATTTGCATAGCACTGGCTATCACAAGTTACATATCAATTAAAATACATTTAGAAGATGATACATACTTTCAATTAGCTGGTGTCACACTTGCTGGCTCTCTCCGACAGTGGCTCTACCTATAAGCAAAGTCTCTTCCTCCTTGGTACCCCATATAGCCCAGCTCTTGTAATCTCCTGCCACTCCTTACTTCTTCCATATTTGTTGTGCTCTTTTGATCTGCATAATTTGCGAGGCAGAGTTCAGTTGCTGAGCTCTTGCATAAATGCAACAGAGAGAAGAGCATCAGGTTGGGAACAGGCAGAGTCGAGTTTGATTATCAGATCCAGACCGGGTGCTGAAACAAATCATTTCCTTCTTTCTTTGCCTTTCTGTAGACAATAAATTATTCAAGGCACTTTGGTCTGAATCAATTTTTTTCTCTTTTGCTGAATGGTCCCCAAATGGGCAGAATTGCAGAAGGGAAGTCTGCATGCAACAGGAAACACACAAATGTAGCACTTAGAGACTTCTTTTTGAAGCAAAAGGCCTTTTTTGTTTGTTTTTTTTTTTATCAATATATTTTTCCAGCATAAAAGTGTCCCTCTGAAATAAAATTGTACATGTGGCCCTTTGTGGCTAATTATAAGATGCTCAGCTGGATGCTCTCCTTAACGGAGGCTGAAAAAGGAAAAAAAAAAAAAGCGAAGTCAAGTCAGTATATTAACTCTTTCCAAAATATATACCTCATTTATCTACCGGAGAGACAAAGGTCTGAAGTCTTGTTAATGAACACTAGCATTCTGCCTTCATATTAAGGACTACTGCTGTCATAGGAGTCAGATGAAATTATTGCTGATTGTGAAAATGGGTTTCCTTATCTCAAAAAAGCTTAAAAAATTTCCAAGATATTTTTACTTTGAAGAGGAGAAACAAGTCAAAAATCTATATATTGCTATGACTTGATCCTCCAAAATCAAGCAATAAATGTTTATCTTGGCTGAGAGAGAACATGTGAGCACTCCCTAACTATGTCATTGTAACATAGGTTAATATAAATATTTGAAAAAGTGAATTGAACCACTACAAAATAGCCACATTTTCACTACTGAACACAAAGACGATGTTCTGATTTCAAATAAGTAACACAACCGCCCCCCACCCGCCGACTATTTCATGTGCTTAACCAACTCTAATTACGCACCGCTACTGCTTGAGAAGTAATGAAACGATGCACATCCTAACCGTGGAGAGGGGAAGTGGTGAGGGAGCGCTCCCATCAGCAGCACGGCTCGGGGAGCAGGCAGGACCAGCCCGCTCAGTACACGCACGGCGAGCTCTTCTGCGACTCCAGCTGTTTGGAAACCTGTGTCTATCTACAAATGATACCTGCAAAGCCAATTATCACATCTCGTTTTACAGATGGGACACATTCTCATCCCTGCAACATCCTTTTCTGGTTAGCAACGTTTGTGCCAGGACCGTGAGCCGTTTTCTCCTCCCTCTCCAAGTCCTTCCTTGCGGTATAACTTCAATAAAGTCTACCGGTACGTGTCAGCTCTGCAAGGATATATTCATTTAAACTAAGAGAGCTGAAATCTCCTGGGCAATATGCTCTAGGTGACCCTGCTTGAGCAGGGAGGTTGGACTAGATGATCTCCAGAGGTCCCTTCCAACCTAAACGATTCTGTGATTCTGTGATTCTGTGAAATGAAAAACAACTAAATAAGTAAAAAGCAAACAAAAACTGCAGACCCACTGAGATACATGGATTTTTTTCCCCCTAAAACCTTTATTGCCTTAAATTGAGTTCAGTTTAAAAAAAAACGAAAAAAACCCCACCAAGAT